CATTTCCCATAGAGAGCGTCTCTTCGGGTCTAGCAGAAGCATATGTAGAAAATGCTTCCCTCATAACACAAACATGACGAGTGGCTCCAGAATCAATCCACCACTCCTTTGGGTTTCCTACCAGGTTGCATTCAGAAAGCATGTCGCACAAGTCATCAACATCATCATGCTTTTCTACCATGTTTGCTTGACCCCTTTGCTTGTCTTTCTTCCGAGCACGACACTCCGTAGATTTGTGTCCGGTTTTCCCATAGTTGTAGCAGTTTCCACTGAATCGCTTCTTGCTTGGGTTGTATTTCGGACCGGAAGCCTTCTTTCTCCTTTTGTTATCTTCAACAATATTTGCTCCCATTATTGTTGAATTTCCACGACCTCTCCTTTCAGCAGCTTTATTGTCCTCTTCGATTCTCAATCGACAATGAGATCTTCAAGGGACATCTCCTTTCGTTTATGTTTCAAATAATTTTTGAAGTCCTTCCACAATGGAGGCAACTTCTTAATTATTGCTGTTACTTGGAATGCTTCATTGATGACAAGACCTTTAATGAAAATTCCGTTAGTAAAATTACTAAAAATTTTACTTTCAACATCAATATTCATTTGAAATATACCTTCAGTAAGTAAATCATAAATAATCACTTGCAATTCCTGGACTTGGGTAATAACAGACTTGCTATCTACCATTTTGTAGTCCAAAAATTTTGCAGCGACGAATTTCTTCATCCCGACATCTTCAGTTTTGTATTTCTTTTCAAGCGCATTCCACAATTCTTTTGACGTCTCCACGCCACTGTATACATTATACAGATTATCCTCCAGTCCGCTAAGAATATAATTCCTGCACAAGAAGTCAGAATGCTTCCACGCCTCAATCACGAGAAAGCTTTCATTCTCTGGAGTTTCATCTGGAAGATCAGGAACATCTTCCTTGATGAACTTCTGTAGACATAACGTAGTCAAGTAGAAGAACATCTTCTGCTGCCAGCGCTTGAAATCCATCCCGGAAAATTTTCCGGGTTTCTCTGCCGGTGCCAACGCCGGAGTTCGACTTGTCGATGCGTTGGCAGTCATCATCGAAACAACTTGATTTCCGTCATTCGCCATTTTTTTTTTTCTGAAAAAAAAATGACACATACAAACATTAATAAAAGTTTAAAACTGGAGTGAAAAATCACGTAGATTTTAATCTCCAACAAAATGCCACGAAGGCTTTACTCTCCAAATGGGAGTACACAAAACCACAAAGGTTTTAAGTTTCCAGAATAATAAGAATAACACAAATACAGAAATTAAAATTATTAAATTCCTTAAGCTTGTTGTTCCTCCTGTATTTGTAAAATAATGATTATGGAAATTAAAACGTTAGCCTATTAACATAAATATAAATGATATAAATGAAACACAAATTAATTCGAGCCCACTGAATTTACAATGTTTCCTTAAGGAATTTAATCCCCTCCTAGTACCCAAGGTTATGGATTATTTCCTCCCAGGATTGAACGAATTACACATTGGTGTAGCGGTACTTCATACCCCAATGTTTCAGCGAACACAAAGTTCGGCAGCAAATCACACTTACTGTTGCTTTCTTAGTAGTTTAAAACAATGCAGAACAAGGGAGGAGAAGTCAGAAATTCGTATGGAAAATCTGAGAGGAAGGAGTGCAAAGTATAGCTAACGTTGAGTTTTCGGTGAAGAGAAGATCAATTGCTCTCAAGTTTTCAGTGTGTCTTCAACAGGCTGCTTGCACCCTCTATTTATAGTGCAATTAGCTGCTAAAAATAGACCCGCTGCCACTCATAAAGTGAAGCACTTGGCCATGGTGGACAGAGCACCAGGCTGTTTACTAATGGAGCAATCAATATGGCAATGGTGGCTGGAGCACTACTCATGGTGGAATGAGCACTTGCTCATTAATATTCACGGATTGAAAAACATCCGTTACAAATACGGATAATATTACGTTAATATTCACTATTAACAAATAAATTTGGTCTAAAAAATTAATCAATCAATCTCCGAAGCCGAAGCCGAAGCCGAAGCCGAACCGAGCGAGCGACGACGACGGCGCGATGCTTGCCTTCTTCCTAACTCTTTAAGAGCTACATGAAGTGCATTTGTATATAAACCCACTAAACTCCTTTTCCTCTACCAATGAGGGACAATGTCTCATTAAAAAGAGAGGCAAACTTAAAATTTTACTCAAAATTTTCATTTCCCTCCATTTCCCATTTATCCTCTTTTTAATACCTTTCCATATTAAAAAGAAACTCAACAATAAGTATTTTTTTTCTTAATTGTTGAATGACAATTATCATAGTAAGAATTTTTTTAAAAAGGAATACCAAAAAAATTAATAAAATAATCATCAATTGAACCGGTCAAAGAAATGTAGAATTATACTAAGACTCAAAATATAGTATCATAGGTGTTCGCCCAGCAAAAGAGGAAAAATGAGATAAGGCCCGGTGAAACTCTAACAAAATATAACAATCACTTTATTTGAAGTGAAGAAGAAGAAAATACATAATATTGTGGACTTAAAAGGAGGATAAAAGCAAAAGCTCTTACTTTGTTAGTGTGCTATGAAAAAGGCGCCAGGATATCTTAATTAACTGGTTGCAAGTTTCTGAAGATAGCTTTTAGCTTATAGATAATGAATTGTTCCCAATGTATTATTGGTCAACACCAAGTGAAAAACAGGAGCCGTTCGTGAGTCAAATTAGTTACTATACGAAGGATTGCATCCCTTCAAATAAATCTATTATTATTATTATTTATTTATTTATTTATTTTTATAAGTAGAGTTTTATGTTACTTAAAAGGGCATTTTAGTAATTTAATTTTTAGCTAAAGGGCTTCCTACTTTTAATATATATATATGATGAAAATTATTTCCAATTGCATCTGCATTCTGTTATAGTTTATGCAGTCCAAAAAGGTTGTTCTAGTTACAAGTACAGTATCCGATCTGGATGGCCTATACAATATGCTTCCACTTTTCTTTGTGTTACTTTATTTGCATTGCAATCTATTTACAGATATAGTAGATGCTTTACAGAAACACTTTAATTGAACTCCAAGTTTCAACTTTTCCTCCTCCAAGTTTACATATATAAGAAAACATGTACGACACTATACTAAATTAGGAATCGTTTTTTTCTCTTAACTACGTGTTTATTAAGTATATTCTGAAGGTTTTCAAATAAAAAAGGGATTTTAGTACATTTTTTATCTAGTTTTTGTAAATATGTAGTTCCAATATAAAAAACAAGAAACTGGCACACTAATGTGCATTCACCTACTTCCACCACGTTATTCTTTTTGGGACAAGAAGAGTATACATATCAAATACGGCAATCAAAATCATTTACCGCAAATTGTCAATTCACCCTCACTTTATATTTTCTTTACAACGAATCTGTTGCGTATGATTAAAAAATCGATAGATATGGGTCCGTCCCTCTATCTTTTTACACATAAATACTAGCTTTTTGTTTTCCACAAGGTTCCAACGCTCTGGGGCAAAATCACGTATCCAAAAAGATTGCACCCTGTCATTATATACTTAATAGTAACAACAACAACAATAATCCCACAAATAGTTGGAAATAAAATATACTTAAGTCGTAAAATAAAATAAAAATAATAAGATATGTCATGTTTTCATTTGTTATGGCTAAGTTTTTTCTATGTAGATGCTGAATAATAAATAGTTGTCCAAAATAAGAGGTGCAAATATATAACAAATAGGTATCCAAAAGAATACAGGCAAGTGATAAATAGGTGACCAAAACAATTGCGATTTTCCCGCTCATTCAGTTTGCTTCTTCCTCAATTCACCACAAACCATAAGAAGAACACCACACCTTCTCTACCAATACAATTGCCACTCAACAGAGCTCCAATGAATACTAATTTCACCTATCGTTAATAGGGAGGTACGTAAATTTCCATCTTGAGATGAGATGATTTCAGATTCCTTCAATGTGAAAACAACTAAGTAGTAGTGTTTATACATCTGATCTGTACGTTGTATTTTCATTGTCACCTACCATAACTTTTACTCGTGGGATTATAAATTCTTCAGGATATCGTTTTTAGACCGTGTAACAATCTCTATTAAGACTTCAACCTTCTTTCTTCTCTGGACTTGAGAAAGATCATATAGATAGAGTTTGAAATTGGACTGGTTGATTGATTGATTAATTGAATTTCAATAGGATTAGATACTCAGATATCAGTTCCGTTCATTTTTTCCATGACAAATTTTCAATTATATCTAGATGGGATATCCATCCCACTTGCATGTTAATTAATGAGACCTCTATTCAGGTAGGATAGCCCGATGGATGCTCAAATGCCCTCTGCTTTGAAGAGCAGTGTTGAAAATCACTTTTCACTTCAATCAAATACTGCCTCGGACACTGCACAAGTCCCATTGAAGGTACCTTTCGTCATTGGTAAGGCTCAACCCTCTCGCCAGAGGTAGATGCAGGATTTAAATTTGATGGATTCAACCTTTATGGTTCTTACATTGAAAAGATTATAGTTTTGAAGTATGGGTTCAACACTAATATTTGTTGACGCTTAAGTAAGTCTAAAAATTCATCAAATCTATGGTCATCGAATTGCATTATTTTCACATAGGAATGCTTTGATTGAATAGGACTACTCTATATTAAGAAGTGCTATGAAGGAATTGAAAGGGCCAGAGGAGAGGAGAAATAAAAAATTTGTTTTTGTTCTTGTAGTTTAGTAAAATGAATGGATGAGATTTAAAAGATGGGAGAGCTTGGCTTCTCCTTCCATGCAATTAAATCTAAAAATAAGCTAATGTCCATAGCTCAAACAGATGGATATTGGAGAATTCATGTACCCGAGCACAACTAGTTTGGGATTGAAGTGTAGTTGATTGATTGATATCGATTAAATTAATCTGATATTGGCCCTTGTATGCCTGAGAACCTTTTATGTCCAATTACTATTTAAATTCTATCCATGCATTTCTTATGATCATTTAAAATGATTAAAACTGTGAAGGTGTTGCTGGAGGGACTGCATCAGGCAAAACAACTGTTTGCAATATGATTATGTCACAGCTTCAGAATCAACGCGTCGTACTAATCAATCAAGTAATATCTTGCTCACTTCTTTTTCTGCTACTACTGTTTGGCATTCATAAGCAGTCTCACTTTATAATCTGAGAATTACCTTTTGATGTCCCATTAGATCATATTTTAATGTCTTTCAACTCTAAAAAAATCAGTATTCTGGAAAGTTTGCATTCTTTTGTTATATGAAACTTTTCATCATCTTCTAACACTTGATCAACCTAATTTCAACTTTCAGGAAGCATTTTATCATCCATTAACTGCAGAGCAGTTACAGAAAGTTCACGACTACAACTTTGATCATCCTGGTAGGCAACTGATGTTTGAAGTTTGAAACTGGATTGTAAATATTGCTCGAATAAGTTCTCTATCGGTCATTTTCTAATGTTGGCCCGTTTACATCATGCATTCTTTTCAGATGCCTTTAACACAGAGCTTCTGCTATCATGCATGGAAAAATTAAAACATGGACAAGCAATTAGCATCCCTAATTATGATTTCAAGAGCCATAGAAGCATTGAAGCAGCCCGTGTGGTAATAAATTTTATCTTCTTGGCCACTGATTTGAGTTGTATAGTTCTTGTTAAGCAATTTGACGTTACTGCAAAGCTTCTAATCATGAATCAAGTACCGGTCAGTTTTTTGAACTGCGTATCTAATGCTGTGAATTTATACATCTTAGCATTAAGTTATCTCCTGATTACATGGCTTGCAGTATATATAATGTGTCCTGAGGCTGTGATACTGCTGGTTTCTACTTTTAGTTGATGGTCTGTATAAAAAAATAGGAAAACCAATTTTAGAGGTCCAAACAAATAAAAATGGAAAACTAGTTTAAGCCATAACAATGCAACAGTTGACAGCTCAATCATGATTGCTGAAGCTGCTGGAGTCAGTTAAATGTAGCAGCATACATTATTTTCAATTATTCTAGGCTTTTGTATTTTGCTTTTACAGCTTCACTTTAAAGTTCCAAAGTTTAAATGCAGATGGTATACTCTTAACACATTTTGTAATCAAATTTGCAGGTCAATCCCTCAGATGTCATCATTTTAGATGGAATTCTTATTCTACATGATCTTCGTGTACGTGAAATCATGAACATGAAGATCTTTGTTGATTCAGGTTCTTCTCTATTGACCCTTAACATCCCTCGCTTATCCCCAAACAGGAAAAGAGAAACAAGACAGCTGCTTACTTGATATTTTGTGGTTCACTCTTTACCCTTATTCTTGCTTTTGAAATTGGAAATCAAATTCTCTGATTTGAAAGCCCTTTAGGACATTTTTCCAATCTTCCATATTGCTCCCTAAACTGTTAATAAACCCATGAACGCAGACTCTGATGTGCGGCTGGCCAGGAGGATACGGCGTGATACTGTTGAGAGGAACAGAAACATCCAATACGTGCTAGACCAAGTAAGCATTTTTTTTTTGCACTTAATGCTCCTTTATGGATTTTCTGTTGCTCCTAAATTGTATGGAAGGTTACCACGTTAGCAGTTCTTTTTCACTTGAGACTCCTTTTCGGTTTGCTCTCCTGGAAAATAAGACAGGTTATCTGCTACAATAGGTTAAAACAAATATTCTTTACAATGTACATCTTAATGGAAGTTAGCCATGCTTCTGTAGTAGTTCCTCACGCACTGAGTCACACAGGTCAAAGGTTAAGGAATGTTGTATAACGAGGTTCTTTTGGACCGTTATTTACACGGGCAATCTGCTATATGTTCCTGTAATTTACCTATGTTACCACATTGGATGTCAATAGGGTCTGTTCACCTAGTTAAACTATTTATTGTACGTATAAGTGTTAATCGGGCCGGGCTGACCTGTTTTCAACTATCTCTTGATTCATTAGTAATCTAATCTTGGATTTGTTTGGAAAGTTTACATTTTTCAAGCTGACTGTGCTATCTGACATGCAGTATGCAAAATATGTTAAACCTGGTTTTGAGGACTTCATTCATCCAACAAAGAAATATGCTGATGTAATAATTCCACGAGGAGCGGATAATGATGTTGCAATCGACTTAATAGTTCAACATATTCGTACAAAGCTTGGCCAGCACCATCTTTGCAAAATATATTCAAATGTATTTGTTATACATTCTACATTTCAGGTGTGTATCTATTCAGATTCTCTTCTTGATCCTATTTCAGTTCAAGTACGGGTATGGTAAATTGCTTGACCTGTGCTTCAACATTCTTGAAGACCAAAGGTGAACAAGTTCCTTAACATTTGCCCTTTTGCTAGATGCGTGGGATGCACACGCTTGTACGAAATGCAAAAACAACCAAGCATGACTTTGTTTTTTATGCTGACCGCCTTATACGATTGGTATGATCGTTTTATCTTATGTCAATGAATTCTCTTTCGACCATGTAGTGAAACACGTTCTTTTTACTCATGTTTGAGGTCGTGGAGCATGGTCTTGGTCATCTTCCCTTTACTGAGAAGCAGATAACCACTCCTACTGGTAACTTTGCAATTATCAAATGCTTCCATTTACACAGAGGGTTAGTCCGTTAAGTCTTGGGAGGTGGGAGGAGCTCTTAAATTAATGCATTTGCCCTATCCAAATCTCACATGATTTTAGATTTCACTGTGTGTTTAAAAAATATTTGCAAATTCGGATCTCTTAAAAGTTAACTGCACTTTATCGCCACGCGAAATGAGTTGATAGCTTAAAATAGATGGTTGAAATTCAGTGCGTTAGCAACTGGAGGGGGGTTGAGCAAGAGATGTTGCTTTCTAACATTACGGAGCACAAGCAGTGTCACATATACGGAATTGGATTTAAGTTATATATACTAGCAGTGTAAAAAGATTTCCACCATGAGTTCAATTAACCGGATATAGAAGGTTATTAATTTATTTCCAAGTTATCATATTAGGCTTTCTATAAAAAAGTTGCATGTTGTTATAAATGAAAAAATCTGTGCACTATCCGTGTGCATAACTTAAAACTCATTGGAATTTGCTGAAAGAATAGTCTTTCCCTCTTTTGCAGGATCTGTTTACAGTGGCGTTGTTTTCTGTAAAAGCTTGTGTGGAGTGTCGATCATTAGAAGGTATTCATTTCCTACTCTAATATAGTATGGGTAGAATTTCCAGCATACATTTCAGACAATTTCTGTTTCATGTCAGTAATAAACTTCAGTAATTGAGACTGAAAGTTGACATGGTTACCTTGGATCAGTGGAGAAAGCATGGAAAATGCATTGAGGGCTTGCTGCAAGGGAATCAAAATAGGCAAAATTCTAATCCACAGGGAGGGTAAAAGTGGCAGGCAGGTCAGTCAAACAAACTCGAGTTTTATTGCATTTTCTCTTTCCCCCGTCCTCGTTATGCTCAAAATTTCCAGAACAAGAGAAAATAGTCCTGTAAAAAAGTTGATCTGCAAAAAAAATTCCGCTGATATGATTCGAGGGCAAACAATACAGCCAAAATCTGACTGCATTATGCAAATGCTTCATCAGATATCTGAGCATTCACCAAGAGCAACAAGGAAAGTAGTCTAATAAAGAAATACAGGGTGATCTATACATTTAAGAGTGGTGGAGAAAAGTAAATTGTTGCATCAGGTTTCTGTATCATGTGTTATCTGTTTTCTACTCTCATAAGATGCCTTTATAAGTCAAAACAACTACGCCTATTCGTTAAAGGACATGTCTCTAAATTTATACATCACATCTATTAGAACTATAACGTAAATATCTCGAATTTTAAACAAATAAAAAGTGAGCTTTGTTATTAACTGTGCAACTTTTGTTTGGAATTGAAGACTGAAGTCGATTCTTAATAAACCTCAAAGGTTTAAAGCAAGATAGCAAAGGTTATTTCTTTTAAAAGAAGTCATCATCTTTTAAATGGAGTAATTGTTAAGCGCTTTTACAATATGAATTCTATTTTGTCAAGAAAACGAGGCACACCTTTATAAGGTGGTTGAAAAAGTTGTTTCCAGTCAATACAGACAAAAATTCTTATCATTCACACTTGTACTTTGACTTGCACTTTTAAAATCTCCAACAACAAAGAGCTTCATATCAGGACATATAGAAAATGCAGTTTCTTACCGATCCCAGCAACATTACAGTTGATCTACGAGAAGCTACCAAAAGATATTGCAAGTCGCCATGTTTTGCTGCTTGATCCAGTACTAGCTACAGGTTGGAAATGCTTTGCTTTCCGTCAATCAATAAATTCCTAAATAACTTTGTCTACTAACCAATGAATTGTTAATTACTGTCCAGGGAATTCTGCAGTGAAAGCTATTTCTGTGCTGCTTAGCAAAGGTGTACCAGAGTCTAACATCATTTTCTTAAACCTGATATCAGTGAGTAATCATATCCAAAAATTGCAAAAGTCAAAACCTGATAGTAGTATTTTGTTTCAGATAGTTTACCATTGTACTTCTTCCAGTCTTCCAGTCTTTCTGTCTTTTATGATTTTTGAACACCTCTTAAGAAAGACGTTTAATACTGTTGCGGAAGCCAAATGTATAGAGTGTGAATAAGTCACAACTACTATACCAAAAATTATGACAGCCACCAAATAATAAATAAGACAATAAAGCAATAATAAAGGGAACACCAGAATTTACGAGGTTCGGCTAATTTTGCCTACTCCTCGGACACAACCAATATTTTATTCCACTCCAAAAATACAAGTGAAATAATACTAAAGAGAGAAGATACAAATGACTTAAACAGATGAGAAGGCAAATGAGAGGTGTGTTTCAATCCTAAACATTAGGCCTTCTTTTATAGGGGAAAAATCCCCCCCAAACTTAACTCCCAACCAATGTGGGACTTTGGCATTTTGCCAAACTTCAACAAATACTACCCTTTGCCTCGCTTTAAACGCCTCACTTAATTGACACTTCATTAATTATAACAGCAATATGACTTCTTTGTTTTTCTGACACAAATTTCGTTGCCAAAATGACGAGTATTTGGACCAGAGGGAGTATTTTTTGTCAGATAGTTTTGACTATATTTATTAATTATGCAGGCGCCTGAGGGATTACATGCTGTATGCAACAAATTCCCAAGATTGAAGATTGTAACATCAGAGATTGACACAACCCTTAACAAGGACCTACACGTGATTCCTGGTATGGGTGAATTTGGAGACCGTTATTTTGGTACTGGTACTCGAGTTACTCCTCCATAGCAAGTTCTGTCCCTCTTTTATTCAGGGATGGATTTTTAGCTCATAATCTAAATGTGAATAGACAGTTTATAAAGATATCGCGCTTTGCCCCCTTTCTTTTAACTAGAAAGAGCAAGATTTTACTTATTCGAGGGGATGAAAGACAGATAAAAGGATCATAGATTTTATGATAAGAGAGATATCCGCGAGGCATGACCATAGAGTTGTAATTAGAATTTTTTGCATTTCGCAATACTATTGTTGCACCTGCTTTGAGAATGTGTATATACCTCCTGTAAGTTCTTTTTTTTTATGTTTGATTTTAACAGCATACTTCTCTTCCACGTTCTTGCAATTCTCGTTTTCCTCTTCGTTCCTGCCATCCCTCAAGTTTAAAACAACCATCCTCGAGTAATAACCATCAGAAAAGGTGAACTTTATTCTTTCTCCTTTGACTTGCCCTTGCTTATATATTTACCCAAGATGCAACACAGTTAATTTGCAAGTCATTATCTCAATGCTTCAGTGCATATACCTCCTAGCAAGGGAGGAAAAGCATGACTATATGATTCCGCCGCTACATACTTCCTGTGAGCAAACAGTAGTAACCTATAAATGACCAATTAAACATACTGGGAGCAGACGGAAAAATCAAAAGTTTGATCTCGTTTGTATTTTCAATGGATCGGACCATACAAGTTGCATATCTAGATGCATAAATCCTCAAGATGTTCTTTTACAGGGAAAAAAATGATGCTCTGTATTAGTAGTGTGCACTACAAGGTGAAAGAGTATAACTGGTCCAAATTGGAGAACCTGCTACCATTTTCACATTGACGCCAGAGTTTGAAGATCAATATCATTTAAAAACGAAGGCATGACTTTAATTGGCTCACAAACAAAACCAGCTTCTTGGCATGCATCCACGAGTTGCTTCACTTGTGAAGGCCCATCCGGACAGAATACAATCACAGCCCCACCGCTTCCTGTGAACTTTGATGCAGCACCTATCGTTCGAGCCACCTCAACCATCTCTATATTCACAGCTCCAAGGGCATCGTCATCAAACATACACCTACATTCATATACTGAACTTCAGAAATTCATTTGAGCATACCAGCTCTATCTTTAACAATACAAAACAACATTTGATTACACTGAGCTTTGCAACAGAAGATGCATAAAAGCCATCAATAAATCAACTACGTCTCAAGGCACATTAGGAGTTCTCTAAAACTGGAGGTTCTTAAATCTTATAGTTATTTCTATGCGGGTTATTGTAAGTGTAACAATGACTAAACCTTGATCTGACCTAGTTGGTTAACTAATAAAAATCTGCCAATCAATCAAAGAAAGTTGCCATATGTTTTACCTTCTTAGATCAAAATTTTGATTCATGAGGGTTGCTAGCTTAGCATAATCCTTCTCAAGAAGAGCCTTTTGTCCTTCTACAGCTATGTTTGCGACCTCCTCCATTGTTGATATAATGAACTCATCACCTGCTAACCATCTCTGTCGAACTGTACTGTGGACCTGCATTAGAGAAATGCTTTATCAATTAATGCCCAGAAATAGTGATATTCATGTTCACCTATAAACCTATTGCAGCAATTACGCCTTCCATCATCAAAATTGCTTAACAAATTAGTGGAAGATACAAGAGGTGACCATGATGCTGAAAATAGAGGGTCCTCTACAACCTAAACTGTCCCCTCTTCAAGTTCCCATCCTTAACCTCTTGTATCATGTCAAATATAGTTCAATGGATTAAATTGAATGCAGAGTTAAAAGTAAACAATGACTCAAAGGTGTAAACGGTACAGACCTTTCCAGAATCGCTGGGATTCTCAGCATAGATGAGGTAAAGAGGCGGGAGAAGAGCAATATCCATGGGTGTATATATGCATGACCAAATTCATCCATGTGATTCTTGCTAAAATCCTGCAAAAGGTAAAAACTGGTCATACAGACTAGCAACATTAAGACCATGTGTCTATTAGTCTTCACTTATACCATGTATACGAGGCCTCCATAAGTCTGTGCCACCCTATCCTGCAGACCAGCTACAATTCCAAGTTCTTTCTCTGCATTAAGGACCAGGTTTGGCCTTACCTCAACTTTGATAAGATGTCTGACTTCATAAAAGTCAATAAGGCAATTCAATGCAGCAGTTACAATAGCACTGGAACCCGAAAGCCCTGTCTGGAATGTGGAAGGTTTTTTAAATACGAATCGAACTTTTTCAATAAGTGATTATCATGAATGTTTTCTCTATCATAAGTATGACCAACAGCAATGATAACAGTTGCTAAATTCAAGAAATAGTCAATGAGCAAAAGAAATTAATATATTTTAACACTTTATATGAGATAAAGAGATGGTGGCGAACAAAGAAAAGACTTATGAAGAAGGAAAACCAAAAACTCAAGAAACATCAAGGAGTTGTATCATGATCCTTAAAGTTCTACTCGTAAACCTTTCGTCACATTGAAAATCAAGATACAGGTGCTAATTTAATAGACCATATACGATCCAAATCTGCTACTCCTTCTGTTCCAGTTTATGTGAACATATTTCCTTTTTGGTACGTTCCAAAAAGAATGACCATTTTCTAAATTTGGTAACAATTTAGCTTAAACTTACAATTCTACCTTAATGAGAAGCTTTTATGATCACACAAATATTCTGGGGCTTTTTTTGACTTGTTTAGGACTACAAATTCCAAAAGTCTTCATTTTTTCTTAAACTTCGTGCCCAGTCAAACATGTTCACATAAATTGGAACGAAATGAATATATTTTTGTAGGTCCTAAGTTCTACAGATGTAATATTGTTTTGTGTGAGCCTATTCCAAGGTACTGTTTTATTCTCCTGATTATAGATAAAGGAATAAATCTTCCTTACTATCGTAACATGATTGCCGAAAAGATAACTATGCCTTATAAAAAGGACAATGCGGACGTTGCAAATATAACCTGAGTATTCTGCCCAGAGTCGAATCCACAGAGAATTAATCTATCAATCACTATCTTTAGAACTACTAAACTCTTGAGAACCAACTTCCCCAGACGTTTGAATCACCATTGATGGTTTCTTTACTAACTAAGATTGCAAGTAAATAACAAGCTGTAAACTAAAATGCTAAGGTTGTAAACAATAATGAGAAAATGCTAAGGTAATGACTTCCCCTATTGATGGAATCCCTTCTGTTTATGCTT